AAGTAATCAAGGTATTTATAGCACAGAACTATTAATGTGAAAACAGAGTCTAAGACTTTTAAAGGGTGTGGTTTGACAAACTCAGACGAGTTTAGTCATGCCCCTGCTTTTGAGGAAGAGGTCCATAATAAATCTGACACCCTTATTGTGTTAGTCTAAAAGTCTGTAGGTGATAGTGGAGGTTGTGTTATGAATGTCCATGCCATGTGGCTTGCTGTTGGGGTAGCTACTTCTGTCACTAGGTGAGCTGTGCTTCTGCACAGGAAAATCTATATGTAATGGTTCCTGTTTGGCTCCCACACTTGCTGCAGAATTTGCTGGATGTTAGGGTTGCTACCAGACTTTTAGTTTGACTTTGATGAAATCGTACACAATAAGCGTTAGGTGTGGATTCATCCCTGCCCTGATTGATTTACTTCCTCTGAGCTCATGAGCGATGCCTGGTTTGTCACCAATGCCACCTACAGAATATCAAAAACGTTCATTCGCGTTAAGTAACTATATCAATTAAAGCATGGTAGAAACAGGATTATGAAGGGCACAGGTTGATCATTTAATGACTAGTCTGATTATAGCGTAATACGTTTCTGCTGTGTTGGAGAACACACTCCAAAGGCTTGTGCGTAGCCTCAGATGAGTGGGGTTTGGAAACACTGAGATAGGATATTGGACTTGTGCAGCTGGGGGACTGTTTTTGTTCTTTGTCGGATGAGGACTTTCCTGGGGACCTGTGAGTATTCGGGAGCCCTTACTTACCCTCCCGTGGACTCTAGTGGTCCTGTTTTCTTAAAGTGCCAGAGGGAGATGGATGACAAGTAAGAGCATGTTAAGTCTTTCTTAACCAACCTTACCCAAGGAAATGAAATAAATTTTGATGGAAGTGTTTGGTTCATGCTTAATCATTATCTCAATGCTATTCGTATCACTGATACCGTCAGAGACCATTGCTTATTGTATTGATCAGATCATTGCACTGAGAATTTGTTCTCTTTGCGTATTTCTTGTCACCCATAGTCTCATTTTGCTGTGGATTTTGAGACCCTTTAGGGAAGGATGGCCGGTTCCTTACAAACCGCCTTTGTCCAGCACAGATGAGCAGCGCTTTTGTCAGGAACCACGATGAAAATAACTATGTAATCATCTAAATAGCACCCAGACACTGCTGAGAATGTTAAAAATGTAGCAGGCAGTTTACTTACAGTATTTGATGCAGAATACCAGACCTTAAGGTAGGAACTAACAGCAGCCTTCTGACATAGAAGCTGAGGTTACTAAGAAGCCAAGAGCCAAGGCTCTTCATGGGGATGCATGGCAGGAGGATGAGACACAGTAGCCTTAAACTGAAAGAGAGCAGGTTCAGACATGATTTGGGTGGGTGGGGGTGGAATAATCACTGTGAGGATGGTCAGGCATCGAAGCAGGAGCTCGGAAAGGCTGTGGAGCCACCAACCTTGGAGGTTTTCAAGAGCCAACTGGACAAAGCCCTGAGCAACACGGTCTGAATTTGATGCTGACCTTGCTTTGAGCAGGATGGTGGACTTGGAGACCTCCCGAGGTCCCTTCCAGCCTGAACGATTCTGTAATTCTTTGTTTTGATGTGATAAAAATGAGTTGCTTTAAAATACTAGTGTTCTGGGTGGAATAACATTGTGTTGACTTCTTACAAAGGTTCCGGTAGGGTATGTGCTGATGGCAGAATTTGTTATGCTAAAAAAAAGTTAAAGTTATTTAAAAGTATCCAGAATATATTGTTTTTCTTGTTTGTATTGAAAGATACTTAATGCTGAAGAGCCATGTGGCCATGGAAAAAAAAAGTTCATAAATAAAAAATATGCTTGTTCCAGATGCAGGCGCTATTGTTAGTCAAAGATACTGAGTGAAAATGCGTTTTTACTCTTGCATCTCTTAAATGTTTGCAGATTGGCTTTGCATGAGCAGTTGGAGGACTGCAAAGCTGAAATAGAATAAATGCCCATGGATTGGCACTTAAAACTGAAATGTATCATATATGTAACCTGTCATTACTAGTATGTTGCACAAAGAAAAATTAATTTAACTTACCGCAGTTGATATCGGTATCTAGGGAACTGGCAAACCTTGTTCTCAGGGAGGCCATAGAATAACTTGCTAAACTTTTTTTTTCCTTCCATTTTTAACTTGCTTCATTTCATTGTATATTGTGCTCATTTCTGGAGAATATGTAATTCTGCAACATAGCTAGCAAGCATGTAAATCCTTTGGCCCTAATCATATGAGGAAAACAGAAGGGGAAATACTTATATGTGTGCGTTAAGCACAACATCTGAATTTTACATACAGGTATAGAGTTTTTCTAACATGAAAGCTCAGCTGGTTATTGAAATTCAGAAGGATGGTATCTACAGTAATTTTAACATCAAAATAATCTTGTTTCTGTCTTTTTCTGGCAGGTGGGAAGTTAGAGATACACAGTTCTGTACTGTTTGGTGTATTTTGCTTATGGAGGCTTTAAGGTCCTTTGTTTTTCATATGGGAAAAATATAGCTAATTGTTTGCACTGATGTTGTTCTTCACCTAGATCAGGTGCAATTTTCAAATGTATGTGCAGAGTTAAGTTTGTTTACTTTCATTTCTGTGCCGTTTCTTAAGACTACTTAGAGTTTGCATGTCAGGATGAGGGAATGCTTTAAACAATGTTGTTTAAAGCTGTATCTCCTGTTCTTTCTCTCCCACAAAAAATCATTAATGAGCTGGAGTCCTTGGAGCAAGATTCCCCTTCCTTGGGGTATGTGCATGTTGTGTTTGAACGGCTACTGGCAAAAGACGGTGGTTGTTACCTGGCATTGTATGAATCGCCTGGCAGCCTCTTGTGATGAATAGCCCGGAGCAGTCCTTGTCGCTGACACTGTCCTGTATTTACAGCAGTACCAACTGTGAGACAGGCATACAGTAGTGCTTCTTGAAGTATTGAAATTTATTTTCAGATAAACAGAAATGGATCATGTCAAGTCAATACCATACTCATTCCAGTACTGTGATTTCTTACTTTTAGCATACATCTTACAGCACGTTTATGTAGTGGGTGTCATAAATGATTTCAAACACTGCAGGTAAATCATAATGCTGCCTGTCAGGGTTTCTGCCTAGTGTTTGCCCAGCAGCAGGGCTGTGGGGTTTTTTTTTTTTTGGACAAACTGCTTCAAGTTGGTAAGTGCTGTTGAAGCCACAGTCCCTTGAAAACACTTGTGGTAACACATGCCTTCACCCCGGAGCCTGCCATCATTTGGCTCCGTAATAACAGCACGCTGCAATGATGACGGGGGACAGTTTTTGGGCACAAGCGTGGAGGTCTGCTGTAGGTATGAGACCATGGGTGTGTTCTGCGGTTTCTCCCCATGGCAGAACCAGTTACCTTGAAATTCAAGCAATGAACTGAAGAAAGAGCAACGCTCTGTGCAAAACCAACCCTTTTCTCTTTCTGCCGTGGGCATTTTTACCCTCTGAGAAGGTTTTTCTGTTGTTACAAGTAATTTTTCAGGCTGAAGTTGTCTGTGTTGCGAGAATTAAAAACTGGGTTCTCTTATATAGATTGTATTTGCACAACAGGGGGCTGCAATAGTTGTCAAAAGGAATCTGCCTGCCTACTGGTTTGGGTCTAGGGGCAATGGAGTAAAATGGGGGAGAATGTCGGTAACTGAACAACAGCAGTATTTAGGGATTGGGGCTGTTTGTGGTGGGGTTTTGTAGAAGGTGGGTGATGTGAATTTAAATTTTGGCCTACTGACTGTATATTTTGGATTTTGGTATCGTTGGTGAGGATTTAAGATCTACAGCACTAGGCTCCTAGTCCTCCCATACACCAGCTTGTGCTTGGTTTTCATTAGCCCTTTTCTTTTAGCTGAAAGTTTCAGCTAACCTACTCCTTTTTTGGCTTTTTTCTGTGTTTTGTTTTCTGTTTTTGAAGGTTGTGGCCCTTTTCCACACGTTTGAGTGGCAAATATACTTACAGAAGGGAAAAGAAATTACACCTTTTTTAATCTAGTTTTCCTTCTGTTTAGAAATGCTAGTGAAAGTGCTGGCGTTCTGATTTTCTGTATGCTTGACCTTGATATTATTGCCATTTTTCCTGTTAAATTGGGTGCTGTACTTACAGTAAAAGGTTTCAGAAGCAGAGGAGTTGGGTGTAACGCCAGGGTGACTAGCTGAGCGATGCCTTTTGCTCCCTGCTGAGGTATTCTGAATTACGTTGGGCAAACTGCTCGCAGTTGCACTGTACCAAGCGTGAGCTAATTTTACATTTTTTCTCTATAAGACTAACTGGTTTTGCCTGGGATTAAAAGCAGAATATTAAAAATGTTACTGTATAGCATGTTCCAGCATTCCAACTGGGCTGAAATGAGGAAGCACTGTAGATCTCCTAAGAGGCCCGTTCTTGGCAGACTTCCATTCCGGAGGGGTTTGGACTTGAATATGGACGTCTGGAGACTTTGGTTGAGTTAGTGCATTTTCTCAGGTTCTCTACTCCCTCACCTCGATCATTTCAGCCTTAGTTGTGCATGGTCATGCTGAACAGCAATGTTTACCTAACTGCTGTGCCCATGTATGTGTGCGCAATGTCAGTGGTTAGGAAAAATGGTACATAATGTGTTTGCTGTTGGTCAAATTAATCAATAAAAAATAATCTGAGCCACAGGGGAAAACAAAAAAAGAGCAAAGCCTGCCTTTCTTAAATAAATCTCGCTGTTTCCTCTCTATCCACACAAATAGTAATTAAAGAAACACAGACCACTTCTAAACACAACTGCTAAGCAAGGGTAGTGCCTACACGGGGGTGTATTACCTACCTGTGAAGCACAACAAATTATGGAAGGCAGGGCCATTACTTGCAATAGGGAATTAACTCCTACAGATGTGTTTACAGTCTTGCCAAGTCAAGTCTCCTTATTTCATGCCCTGCTTAACAAGTGTGTTTCACACGGAGTTGTCCAGCTTTTATTTCACTGCTGTGTTCCTGTTCGCAGGCTGAAGCAAGACTCGCAGCGAAGCGAGCGGCGCGTGCAGAGGCACGGGAGATCCGAATGAAAGAACTGGAGAGGCAGCAGAAAGAGGTACGATCAAGGCTTGGGGGGTGTTTTGATCATCTTTTTGCCTGAATATATATGTATATAATCTGAGGTCCCGGAACAAAGGGTTATTCTATGTTTGGCTGAAATGTTAATAGTCTGCATGGAGCTAATGCTGCTCAGTTAGTTGATCATAGGATATAGCCTGGAAAAAAATTGGGATTGTGGCAACAATTTTATCTTGGTGAAGCCAGTATAATTATTCACAGAAAACACTGGTGGCTAGTTAGTAATCATTGTTTAATATTAAACTTTGAAGTACACAGCTTGTTTGTGTGTGCATTCGGGGGGTGGATTCTTATCACTTCATTAGCAATCTGATGAATATGGAAGACTCTTGGCCCTTGTATAACTCTACTTGCAAGTTGTTTTGCTTTGTTGCTGTGAAGCTGGCATCGTGGTCTCCCCCGTTTTGTAAAAATGATGGTCTGCTGTTGGCAGAAGTAATGATAGAAACTGAACTTGGCAGACCATTACCTTCTCCAAAGTGTTTGGATTAAATGCCTGGTGTAGTCTGTCCCAAATTCTGGACGAGCTGGTTGTTTTATACCATCAGCAAAGTTACTGTGCTTCTGCCTGTCAGCGTGTGGGAGATCATGGGCTTCCAGTGTAGGAATGATTGTAAAGACCAGAAGGGCTTGTTCTGCTCCTGTTGTGTTTGACAAGTAGGAGCTGTACTAAATGTCATTCCACTCCAAGAAACTGAGAGCAGCGCTTGTTTTGAAGCTGTAGAAGCTAAAGCAGTGCTATTGGAATGGGGCTGCAAGCACAGGTTGGCACAGGTGGGCCAAACTAGTCATGAGAACCAGAAGGGCTCAAAACTTGTATTTGTTGATGTGCATTTAATGAAACAGCAGAGTAGACGTAACAGGGACAGCAGCAATCGTAATTTAATTTTTTCAAATAAATTTTGAAAGGGAAGAAGTAAGGAGTTTGGGGGCGGGGTTTGGGAATACATAGTAAGAATAAATATACATACGTGCTTTAGGGTGCAGAGAAGGATTCAGGTTAGCTTTTAAACAGTAACTCAGGACATGATAGCAGACTAGTGTTGGTGCAGGCTGCAGTAATCAGCTGGGAACAGAACCACTTGGGAAGTTTGCCCATGCTCAGCTTTGTGCTGGAGTGTCTTGTCTAGTTGAGGCACTTTTGGTTGTGTCTTAGTATCCTGTAGCCACAGTAGGGTTAGATGTACCTGCAAACACACCAGGAGTAAGAGATGCAGGGGAGCATTGCTGCAAGCACAGTGCTTGTGGAGGAGAGGAATCTTTTACTGCTATAGTTGCTGCTTTTTGAAGGATGTTTCTTGCAACCTCGACCACAGTCGGAAGGCCTGAAGTGCAGATAAGCATTGTTACTGTCAAGCTTCCTGCTGTGCCTACAGCCTGAGTGATTGGACTTGCCGAGCAGCCTTTGGAGGATCTGTGGTGAACAACCACTAGGTGTTTTGTTTGGGCAGCGAAGTAATTACGGGTGTCATGGCAGCTGGCAGTGGTGTTACCATCTAATCTGCAGATACCTTTAATGCAGCTGATGATCCCCTTGAAGATTAAAAGCTGATGCTGCAAAGGGTGTCCTAGTAAATTGAAATTTTGGTGTGAAAACTTCTTTGTATAGAGGGAAATCGCATGGTACAGGATGTCGCTCTGAAATACCGAATTCAGTGAAAGCTAAGCCAGATATCCCCTACAATCTGTTTTGTAATTCACTGGCATAAATTACATAATGTGACTACACATTTATTTAATTTTTTGCATGCTTGGATATTCTGTAATTTTTTTCATATAGCTTAATCTCAGCCCCCAGATGCAAGGTAGAGCTAGTAAGGATGGCTGCAGGAAGTTTTTCATTGCCAAAAGTATCTTGCAGATATAATGAAAGAAAACATAAATGTAGAAAATCCCAAGCAGTGATCAACACAAGACATTTGGCACCTACCCCTTCCTTGGAGGAGAACATACTGTGATACTGGTGTCTGTATGGTTTGTTGTCTGCCATCTTCATTTTCCTTCGCAAACTTTTCGGAGAAATAAATAGCATATTCCCACTACTGCCATGTTGAGTAACCAGAACTTAAAGCACTTGCTTTACTACTTCAGAAGGCTTTTTAGAGCCAGTTACAGGAGTTAAAAAACAATAAATAAATTTATTGCATGTGTGTGTACTTCATGCTTAAAGCAATGTACATGCCCCGACAGGTTTCTTGTGGAGCATGGATTACTTGAGAATATATTATATTGTTGGTCTGGGTTAAAAGTTTCCAGATGTTACCATTACAAGCTATAAACATGGCAGTATAGCTCTTGCTGACAGTGAAGTAGGGTGTTTTGATGATTTGTATTTGGACTGGACATTGGCTCCTCTCCTGCCCACCATCTAGTATTAATGACACTTCTTAATCTGTGCTTAATTTTCCTCATTTTAAAATAATTGGGTGACTTTTGCATCATGAGTCTACATATGTGTTTTAACTAATGTTCTGCTTGCCACTACAGAAGAAATGCCAATGCAAAAGCACCAGGTATCTGAGATTTTTTGTTCTGTATCTTATGAATGCTTCTGTAGGTAGAATGAGCAGCCACTTCATTAGAAAGCTATTAAAATGCCCTCTGCTGCATCTGTAGGCTAGCCATATGTGAAGAGGGCATGAAAAATTGGTCACAACTGTGTAGTAAAGCTCCATTGGTCAGTGGCGAGGGCTACCTGATACCATACCAAGCTCTTCTTTTGGCAGAAATTATTTCATGTAAGACACATGACAGCAGAAATTGCTGCATAGTCTGTTCTTTTGGAAACTTAAAATTGTGTTTGTCAACAGCCACAGGTAAGGTCCTTTCCTTTCAAAAGGAGCAGCAAAAGGGCTCAGCCCTTGCTCAGGCTGCCATACCTCTTGCCAGTGGTCACTGCTATTGGTCTTGTGGTTTGTGTGCTCAGAGGGATAGCTTTAGTGAACTTGGCTTGAAATATAAGGTGACTCTTAGGAATTCTTCTGGAAACTTCATGTGAAGTGACATACTGCTGTAGTAGAACAATAGTTGGAGAAATTATATAGCAGAAATAGATGGGCTTCTGGAAGAAAACACTCTGAATTGCAGTGTGAGATGTGGGAAAGTTACTGTGGAAGGTTGCTGCTGTTCGCTGTGGTGGGGCAGGATTGCAGGTGTGTTCCAGAGGCGGTATCATCTTATCACCTGGCATCACCTCATGCCAGGCAGCAGAAAGAAGTATAAGTGTGCCAATGTGGGTGGGCTTTGTGTTTGGTTTGTTCCCCCTCCCCAAGGAGAGGAAGGAAAGGAGGAGAGCATGACTACAAGTTTAATAGGAAAGTAATCTAGGTAAATGAAAAGTGTTTTCTTGAAGCTGAAGAAAGAAAATTAGCACAGGAATCATGATCTGATATATGCTGATTTATGAAGACAAGGGTAGTGGTCAGTCTTGAATCCTATATAGGTGTGTATATTTATGTAGAGAAATATTTATATGTTTAGTAGAGAAGGGGTTTCTGAACATGAGGCTCTAAGAAAGGCACAGATCTAATAAATGTAACTGCTTGAATGTTTCCGACTTCTTATTCTGTGCTGCTTTGTTGTTGTTATCCACCAAAGATGTAAATAATTAATCTGGAAGTCACGGTAGGTTTTCTGGTATGCTTCCATGCATAGTAAGTCAGTACAGGAGAGTTCTCATGTGAGGCAATGCCAATGCATGTTCTATGCTGAAAGGATGATTGTAACAGATGATACTTGCTCCCTTGCCTGTTTCCATACCACTGGTACCCACCCAGCTGGTGGGAATCAGAGCAGTGATGAGTCCTGTGGTTTTTTACCATACCATGCTGCCATGGTCTTTAAACATTTGGTTTTACAGTTGCAGAGTCTAAAGCCAGCCCGTTTGGCTCGTACTGTAGAGATGTGTTTGGTACTGAGACAAATGCTTGTGTGCATTCAGATATTTATTTTTAACTCATGCAGAAGAACAAGTCAGGAGTTGTTGGCTCAGTTTTTCTGAGTAACAAATTGTTAATTCTCTTGGGGCTACCAGGTAAAGTGGAGAGAAGAATTTTTTCTGTGTATTTCTTTTCTTAGAAGCTTGGCATATTAAAGCCTTTTTTTCCAAGAAATATTTAACAGTAATGTTTCAAGACACATAAAAGCTGCAGCATTAGGGCTAATTGTAGAGAACGTTTTATGTAGGAGTACCTTCTGTGTGTTCTGCTGGCAAGACTTTAAATGTCTCTTTGAGGACTGACACTTGGAAACCACAATTTAAGCTGATATTAGTGCCTGAAGTGAAAAGAGAATGATCTCCTCCCACTCCTTAATCTGCAGGATAAGATTCTTGCTTGCCAGTTCACACAGCAGATGAGCCTCTACTTTTAGTTCAAGGCAAGAGCATTGTGCTTGTCCCCTAGCTTCGTTTTCAGCTCTCTTTAAGGACACAGCACAAAACTTGGCTTTGCTGTTTTGTAAACTCGTTCTTTACCAGCATGCGCATTTGCACATACTTGTCCTTTGGATTCATATTTCTTTGGAATAAAATGTTACTAGTACTTTCTGTCATGGGTTTCTTTTTTCCCATGTCAATTCCTTGAGCATGTAGTAAATTTAGTAAATGTACTAAAGCCAAGTTAATGTGGGCAAAAGACTTGCAAACACTCTTGATCTGCTCACTCATCCTGTTGACTGACGTAGCCCCCTTCTACCCTTGCTAGGATTTGGTGCCCGCAAGTCTGATCTGAGTCAGCGGGGTCCCATGGCACAGCTGGCATTTGGGATTGTTTGAAGCTGTTTAAAATCCCAGGCAGTGCAGAAAAAACTAGAGAAAAGCAGAATTCTCGTGGCTTGAATGGGAGGGGAAAGACTGACTGTGAAACTTTGTGCTTGCATATACAGGGAGGAAATTAAGACGGTTTGTGATGGTTAATCTGTATCTTTCTTATACAACCAGTGTGAAGATGCACAGGAAAATTTGGAGAGGGACAATGTTGAAGGTGTTTTTAGTAGATTCTGAATTTCTGCCTTCTGCTGCCATCTTACCATGCTTCACTGGCTTGCTCTGTCCAGTTCAAAAGTTATTTCTATGAAAAACTTTAGTTTTGCGGGAAATCTCATATGATGAGGAAACCAGGAAAGCAGTCTGCCACTACTACTGTGGACAAAACTACATTTTTTTGCCATACTTTAATACAGGAAAGTGCTATTTGAGGCATTTGACTGCTTAGATGTCTGTCGACTCTGTTAAGCTCTTTGTGGGGGGCATTTGTGCAATAGAGATTATTGTTTAAAAGTGTGTGTTTTTTCCTGTAACATACTATCTAAGATGGACAGCACACTGATGAGAGATCAGTCACTTTGGAGCAGAGCGGTTGTAATGCCTGTTAGGTAATGGATGACCAATTCCGGATTTTATAAAAAGTTGGAACAGTTACGATGACGCACTTGGCTTTGTCCCTGTGCCCCTCTCCACCGTCCTCCGTGGTGTCTGGCCCTGAACAAGGGCCTTGTTGTTATCTTATCCATTGGCAATCTGAGCCCTGGACAGAAGACCTCTTGTGTGTCTCAGTTTGCACTCAACAGGAATACCTGCTATGCCAAGCCTGAAGCACTGGGGTTTGGAAAAGACGACTTCCATGGTGTTGCCTTGAAGTGTGGGTGAAGCAACAGCATGGAAAAGTTAAAGGTTAAATGTGGTAATTGCCACATCTAAAACAGTGGTGGTTGGCTTCTGTGTATGGATGAAAGGCACTCTGTGTGTGCAACGGAGAAGCAAAAGATCAGAGTCCGTATGCAGTCTTGGGGACTGTGGGAGAGTTTAGTTCATTTTCCTCTTCAAGGTTTTCTTAGTAAAAGGTAGGTGAGGTGATCAGTGTGCGGGAACGCTAGCTTCAAATGTGGGTCTCAATTATCCCCCTTGCGCTTGTAGGAATAGGAATTAATGCTTCTGAGGTATTAAGCTGGGTTCTGCAGTTGTCCTTCACGATCACAAAGGGGGAACCTGATCAGGCCACGGAGGCAGGGATTGGAAGAAGTACGTTTTCCTTCCCAGCATTGGGATCTGGGTTCACCTGAGGTGGCCCAGAAGAGCAACGGGTGGCAGGGACCCGCTGAATATCCCAAAATACAGGAGACTGACTACCCTGCCGCCTGCTGACCAGCTGAAGGATTGGAGTCAGAGCAATGTACCATTCCCCCTGGGTTGTACTCTTAGAGCAGAGGGGCTGGTGTTGGTGTTTATTCAGCATCAGTGCTTATCTAGGAAGATAAGCAGTAAGGCAGCTGAGGGCTTTAAGACCAGAGCTGTGATACGTTTCCTACAGATACAAAGCTAGGTGTTCAGCAGAGACGTGGGGAGAATGAAACTGCAGTTTCCTTCTGGATTTGTGTAGCCAGTTAGGTGTTTTTGAACAAGAAGGGCTTCTTGCTTTAGAAATGCTAGGAGAGATGCAAGAAAAAAACGTTTTCTGTTTTCACGTGGATTTACAAAGCTGATCAGTCAAGGGCAGTTCTCCACTTAAACAAAACTCAGATGTATTAGAGTGGCTGTAATGCTTTTGTGTATTATTAAAATGGTTCAAGACTGGAACAACTTTGTAGAGTTAGCAGTGCATTTATTAGGGCCTGCAAATGGTGTGAGGCTCTGTGGAAACATTAAAAATTGAAAAAGCAACTTGCAGAGATCCTCCAATTCTGGCAATGTATGTGCAGGAAATTTTCAGAGAGTTTTAACAAGCTGGCACTGTGCTGTACACAGGTGAAAGATGTATAGCATTGATGCTTTTGTAACTATGCTTAGTTGGTTAAGGACAAAATTTGTCCTTCAGAGAAGAACAAATTTTCTGTAGTAAATGCCACTTGCTTTTATTGGGATGGTAGATGCACAGCTGTCATTCTAGGTGAATATTTGGGCATCCATTACTTTGAAGGACGGGGGTTAAAAAAAGCGAGAGGTCCTAGGTCACAGCTGGGTTAGGCTCTGGTCCGGTGCAAAGTCTAGAGAGCAAATGTTGCATGTGCCTCCAGGAGCCTGGTGGGTATGAAAATAGGAATGCTGTATTTTAGCTGTTCATGTGGAGGAGGCCTAGAATGGAAACACTGCTTTCATTCTATTTAACTCTACAGGGCTTCAATGTGCACTTTTTTGTATTCGTGTTTTGTTGTATATTCTGTGTAATTCCCCCACCCCCCACCC